TCCTGCCGCATCTCCCATCTTCTGGTGGGGGCAGGGGTTAGAGAGTGAGTTATTAATGGATCATGCCCATGTACTGAGCCACCATAAAAATCCTTAAGGTACAGGGTTCGGGAGGCTTCTAGGTTGGTGAACACATCCACGTGTGAGGCAGGTGGCACACCCCAGCTCCACGGGGACAGAAGCTCCCGCAGTCAGGACCCTGCTGGGCTTTACCCTCTGTGCCTCCTCACCTGGCTGTCCATCTGTGTCCTTTATTATACTCTAAACTGGTTAGTGTTTCCCTGAGTTCTGTGAGTTGTTAGAGCAAATTATGGGACAGGAATAGGTGAGGTCCTGGAAATTCCTGATTTGCAGCCACATTGGACAGAAGTGCGAGGGACCTAAGGACCCACCACTGTGCTTGACATCTGAAGTGGGGGGAGTCTTGGGGCATTGAGCCTTTAATCTGTGGGGTCTGCGCAAAGTCCAATTAGGATCGGTACTGAGTTAAGTTGTAGGACACCCAGCTGGTGTCCACAGAGAACCAGAGTGGAAAAACTGACACATCTGGTGTCAAAAGTATTCCATGTGTACAAAAGAAATAGTCTTTCCTTTTCGGCTGGCTATGGGCGGGGAGGAGAAGGATGCATGGAATATGACTCTCAGGCATACGGCCTGAACACCTGGGTAAATGGTGGTGTCATTTTCTGAGACCGGAGGCCCGGGAGGGTGTCTGGATTTGAGAGGATCTCAGGATTCCCTAGTTGGAGATGCCTGCCAGGAGTCCCAGTCCCAGCACCCAGCCTGTGTCTTGAAGGCACAGCTGTGGAGGGGAGGGGAGGGGCTCTCTCCTCCCAAGGCCCTGGCCCAGAGGGACGTCGCAGTCCCAGCTGCGGACTGACTCCCCCAGAGCTGCCGGTCCTTCTCCTGGAGAAACGATCCACACTCTGACTTCCCCAGAAGCCATTCATTAGCAGTAATTAGCACAGTCACTTATTTCCCTGGAGGGTAGATGGGGGAGGAGGAACGTGCTTGGAGGAGGCTCTCCACCCTGTGGGGGAAGCCAGAGCCGGTTCTCCATTGCCTCCGCTGCGGCCAGCATGACGTGGCTGCCCAGGTCGTGGCTCTGTAGGTAGGTAGCCCTGCAGGCAGACCTGCACATCCCAGCTCTGTGTCCAGCTCACTTCTGGAACTGGGGCCCCTCATTCTGCACCTACCCCTAGACAAAGTTAATCCCATTGCAAGCAGTCACTTCTCTTTGTGAGCCCTTGGCCATGACCTCTGACCTCACGACTCCTAGGTCTGTGAGTCACCAGTGAGTCACCAACAGTGCTGTCCAAGCGGTGTTGGGCACCCCTCCAGGTGGCTCGCCTGGTGTGCCATCTTCTTTCTGCCCTTCCCAGATCAACTCTCCCCATCCGGCTCCGTCTGGGCTCAACCCTTCCCAGCCTGGAGCACCCCTCTCTGCTTCCTGGTCGGTGCAGAGGAAGTGCGGCCCTTCCAGACTGATCTCTCAGTGTTGTGGTGGGAGTAGCTTCTGTTTAGTCTTGGTTGGAAGGGAGAGCAGTGTGCTTGATGGTTGAAGGGTGCTCTAAGTCATGGGAGGAAAGGAGATGACATTTCTGTGGGAGGACTGGCCACCTTCCTCCCTGAAGATTCCCAACCCAGGCTGGTGGGATATTTTCCCAGAACAACCGGAGTCAATGGGGGAAAACATGCTTTAAGAATTCTCGTGTGCAGCCAACTTTTCTGAGGAGGAGTAGGTTGTGAAGAAAACGTGGGGGAATGCTCTTAGTCATGGAAGGAAGACTCCAGAGGAAGCTGCCATAGAGACCTGCCTTAGAGAAGGAGACAGAGCACTAAGGATGGAGGAACAGGTACAAATGCAGTTTAAGAAAAGTGCTCTAGTCCTAGTGGCCAGCAAGAACAAGCAATGCTCTGTATTCCAGGAAGACATTAACCAGAGTAAAGATACACGGAGTCACGCAGTTAACATCCGGACCCTGGAGTCCAGCATCAAAGAGGCAGACAGTGGTGCAGAAGGAGGGGTGGAATGTGTGTGTGTGTGTGTGTGTGTGGCTCTGCATTTAGAAAGTGTGGGGTTGAGGAAGGGACTGGGGAGGAGGAACCCCTAAGTCTAGAGAAAGGAAGGCTGGGCAAGGAGGGGCATGCTCAGTTTCCATCTAAGGAAATGTCAGGAGGACAGGTGATGCTGTTATAAGATGCAGAAATGTTTATTCCCCAGAATTTTAGGTGAGACTGGGGATAAGGAGTGCCTGGACCACACAGCCCAGGGTTGGAGAGCCTGAAGATGGAGAATTCGGTGTGCACCCATGTGGGGCTGGGTTCCTTGTGGAAGGGAGAAGGAACAGGGCTCTGGGGACAGGACTAGGGTGAGTGGAACTGAGAAAGCCCGGAGGAGCCTGGGCAGAGGCAGAGAAGAATGTGAGGTCCAAGGGCGTAGGAGCTGTGGGGAGGCTCTGAGTGGGACCCGGGACCTGGGATGGGGTTGGAGCCAAGTCACACTCTAGTCCCCAAGAGGCAGGGAGTGACATCCAAACTCTCAGGACAGTTCCAGAGTATGGTTAGATGGAAGGAAGGATGTCCCGGCAGGAAGGTGATGAAATGCCAGTCAGTGAGCTGTATCCTCCACCAGTGTCCCTGAGGCCACCAAGGCCAAGTTCCTCAAAACCATTAGTGTCCCAGAAAACCTTGCCTGCAGACAGCACAACCTGGCCGTTGCTCAATCGGCTCTCAGCGTGGCGTGGCCGCCAGCCCTTCACCTGAGCAGCTCTTTCCCTGTGCAGTCATGACAGGCATGGTGGTGCTCGCTGGTCCTCTGCACAGATGGATAAACAGAACCTCAGGTTGAAAGAAGGAGCTGCTATTTATCTGGTTCCTCTGGAGCATTCTTCTTGCTCTGGGAGCTTACTTGAGTCACCTGGAGGGGATGGAGTGTCTGTTCTGTCCCAGGCAGTGGCCTCTGAGAGCAGGAAACACCCAAAGACCCGGTGCTGTGGCCGGTATCTCAGCGTGCAGGTGATGGGTGGGGCTGTGCTGCAATCAGGCTGCTCAGCCCAGTGGGGTGCAGTGTTGCCACAGCTTCTGAGGTTCATAAAAAGGTAGACATTCAGATTTTCCCCCCATTTTTTAGTGTAGTGAAATATACCTAAGATTTACCATTTTTACCATTTCTCAGTGTGCAGTCCAATGGCATGATGTTCATTCAGTGTTGTGTGACCATTACTACCATACAACTCCAGAAGTCTTTTATCTTCCCAAACTCCTTACCCATTAAACAGTAACTCTGATCCCCCTCCCCCAGCCTCTGGCACCCGCCCTCTACTCTTGCTATGAATTGAACTGCTCTAGGGAATCTCCTACAGGTGGAATCATACAGTATTTGTCCTTTTGTGTCTGGCTTATTTCACTCAGTATAACGTCCTCAAAGTTCATGCATGTTGTAGTGAGTGTGAGTGCTTCACTCCTCTTTATGTCTAAATAATACATAATGGACTACATTTTGTTTATCCATTGATCCATCAATGGACACATGGGTTGTTTCCACTTTCTGGCTCTTGTGACTAATGCTGCTGTGATCAGGGGTGTGCAAATATCTGAGCAGAGAGTCAGACACTTGTACACTCGTGTTCCCAGCAGAATTAATCAAAATTCAGACTTTTTTTTAAAATGTGGATTTGCCCAATTGAAAAAACAAACAAGACTGCAGATCTGACCAAACCCACGGGAGGGCTGGATTCCACACCTGGTTTGCAGTGCTCATCTCAGAGCCGAGGAATTGGGGGGCCCCTCTGGCCCAGGGGCTTGCCTGGAGTTCAGTGTGGCTCACCCCCAGGCTTCCCTCCCCAGCTTGGAGAGATCCAGCCTCTCCCTACAGAAAACACAGCTCACCACCTTGGAGGCAGGGCCGGAACCTCAGGAAAATGAAGCACAGAGTAGAGAGCAGGTCCCACCTGCCGTTGTTCTCTGCTGGGTCCCTCCGTCTGCAGGGCTCCCCATCAGAGCCTCTTTCTCCGGGGATCAGAGGAACACTGATGACATTACAGGTCAGAGCACCCTAGGCTTCGACCTCCTACTTTCCCCAAATTCCCACCCTGGGAACCCTTGGGCCCGAAACGCCCTGCCGACCTCTCCCCCATCACAGAGGGAGAGAAGACAAAGACGCTGTCCAGGGTGACCAGATGTCTGGGTTTGCTTGGTTGGTTGTCACCATATCACCTGCCTTGCCCACTAGCACCTGCCTATCCACCTCCTTCCATCTCCATGGCCACTCAGAGAGTCCCTGCCCCAGGCTCACCTGGACACGACCCTGCCTCCCACCTGTCTCCCCTCACCCCTTCCTGCACCTCTGATCCATGTGGCAACCCAACACCACTAGGCAGAGAGCCTCAGCCGCCACCCTGCCCTTCAGCCAAGGCTCCCTTGCCTGGGTGGGCCCGCAATATCCCTGGTGGGTCCCATCCCGAACACCCTGGCCCCTTACCCAGGAACTCTTACGCCACCCCTTCTCCTAGTGTCCCCAGCTCATCCTCTGGAGCCCGGCTCAGTGTACCCCCCACAGGGAGGCCGGGTGGCAGAGCCCTTAGCCCCTGCACCTCTCCTTTGTCACTCAAATCCTCCAGTTCTACCCACCCAAGCCTTTGAATTTCCTCTTCCTGGGGTTGGAATGGCCTCTGACTGCACCCACAACTCTGCCTGCCTCCTGCAAGTCTCAGTGCAAGGTTTGCACTGCCCCTGGGCTCCGGATTTAAGACGGCAACCCCCTTCTCCATCCCTCACCTCCCGTTCCCCCCTCTTACCCCTCCCATCCCCACCCTCTATCCCAGGGCCCCTTCCGGCTTTGCTTTTCCCAGTAGACTTTATCTTCTTGTCGACGAAATGACGTACTTAGTTATGTTGTTTATTCTGCTTCCTCCAGTGTCCCTGCCATGAGGGCAGGGATTGTTTTCGGTTTGTTCACAGCGGTATCACAGCAGGTGCTCGGTAGGTTGTGTTGCATAATGAATGGAAACCCCGATGAGATATCTGCCCTGACTCTGATGCCCATGTCTGAAATGCTGAGGGTGAGTCACTTCGGACTGAGCATCGGCAGCTCCAGCTCCTGTTGCATGAATTGCCTCTGCAGACTTGTCTGTCATCCCCACCTCCCGGCAAAGTCATCAGTGGCCCTGAGATGGCCAGGCAGGGACACGGGAGGGTGGGTTGCCACGTGGGCAGCCCATCCGTCTTCTGTCCAGGCAAAGAGATGCTCAGCTGTGATGCCCGGCTTGGGTCTGGCGTACGACAGTCAGTCGAATATCTTGTTGAATGAATGTTGAATCATGCGAGGTCTCCACCCCCTGGGAACTGGAGAGACAGTCTGTGGGGCCCTTGCTCAGGACTTGTGCCAGGAAGTCTTCGCTGGCTTTTCAGAACTCCCTTTGGTTCTTCGCAGGCCCTCTTTCTCAGAACCATCTTCCTGGCCACCCTATATTGAGGACAGGAACATCTTGGGGCACATGCCTTCCTCTTGGGTCACCTGGGCAGTGATCCAGCTTGCATGAACAGCAGGAAAAGCTGGAACAGAGAGGAACTGGAGAGGCAGGCGGCTGGAGCAGTCAGTCTCCCACCTCTTCCACGCTTGTTTATTCATTCAACAAATATCCACTGAGACCCAGTGTGCACCAGACACCAATCTAGATCCCCAGGATCCCATGAGGAACCTCCTCACACTGTCCCTCCCCTCGAGGAGTCACAGCACTCAGCACCCACCCTCAGGGTGGCCCTCCAGGGTCCATGCCCATTCTCCCACTCCTTCCCTGACACTCCTCCCCCACCCCAGGCCCCAGGCCTCTGTGCCCATCCTCCTGTGATCACTTGCTCACCTGCCTCCCACCCCCGGGGAAGATATGTGCTGCCTGAGGATAGGACCTGTGTCTTATTCACCATCGTGTCCTGGTGCCCAGTGTGGGACCTGGCAGTAGAGCAGGTGCCCAGTAAATGCTTGTCGGGTGAGCTGGGGAGGCCAACCACCTTAGTTTCAGGAAGGGAGTGGGTTGGGGGAGCACAAGGGGCCAGGCCAGCCACGGGGTACAGAGGGGAACCCAGGACAGAGAGGTCAGGGAGGTGCCCTCCCCTAGCCAGCTGGCATTTCTGCTTGGCTGACACCAAAAGTGCTTCTCTCATTGGCCACTCTGTTTCCCTGCAGTCTCTCCATCCCCAGGCCTGGGACAGAGAGGAATGCAGCAGCTAGGAGCTTCCAGCTCCAGCACCCCGTCCTTGCCTTGTCTTTGGCTGGAGTGGGGCAGGGACCTCCATGCAGCAGGAGGGCATGTCTAGCTGGTGGTTTAAACCCGAGGGTCTCCTGTCCTCCTAACAGAAGCAGGGCCTAGTTAAATACAGTGACAATACTCCTTGATACTTACAACATCCAGGGCTATCTCTCTCTTGCAGACTCTTAGAATCCCTAACAGCCCCAGGAGGCGGGGAGCACAGGAGTCCACCCCAGGGCAGGCTCTGGGGACACAGAGTGTGTTAGCTAAGCTATGACGGGCGGTCTGCCCATCTAGGACCCACACAGCAGCCCCTCCCAGTGCCCCGACTCACCCACCAGGCACTCACTCCCTCTCTCCTCCAACCTAGGACATCTCCACCGGCCCCCATCCCCATGCCTCTGCAGGGCCAACTCCAGCTTTTCCTTCAGCCTCCTTTTCGAAGTCCTTCTTTCTGGGCAACCCTCATTTTCCCTCCAGCAGTCTTCAGGTGCCTCCCTTGGGCTCCCACCCCCCTAGCACTTCTGACCCTGGGTGGTAATCATCTATCCACTGGGCTTGACTCCCTCAGGGCTCCCTGAATCTAGTCCAGTTGCCTTTCTCCAGAATCGGGTTCACATCCAGGTTCCACCACTCACCAGCTAGGGGCCCTTGGGTAAGTCACTAAGCTCCCCCCGTGGCCTCAGTTTGCTCAGCTGCAGAGTGGGAATAAGAATAAGAGAACTTGCGGATTAAATGAGGTGGCGCCTGGCTCACGAAGCTCCCCGCAAATGCTGTTGTCTCCATGCCCCGCCCCAGGCATACCCAGGGCCCAGCGAGGGGTTTGTTTATCACATGGTTGAGAGACAAAGATACACAGTCTGTGTCGGAAGAAGCCTGACCCTCCGGCTTGGGGTGTGGGTGTCTGCAGGATGGGGCCTCCTGGGTCGTGAGGGTAGGCTCTATGGGGGAGCACCTTGCATCTGACACCTCCTACCCGGGCTCCCCCATCAAGCATCGCCCAGGAGCCCTTTGACCCCCAACGGGGAGTCCAGGGGATCCCAGGAGCATAGGGGCTGGGCTGGGGTTGGCACCCTTTCATGGCAGCTGCATCTGTCACAGCCACCTGGGGAACCTGGCTGGCCCCGCCTGGGCTTCCCGGGAGTCCAGGTGAGAGATGAGTCCTCAGGTGACAAGGCCCACAGGAAGATGGCCTAGGGATGGGAGGCCATTGGGGGCCTGATTCACAGCCTTCTGGGAAATGAGTTAACGGGATCCCAGAGTCCCGGGCTGGGCCAAGTCTCCTGCTGATTCATAGGAGCCGTTACCAAGCCTCTGAGCAGCCCCTCACCCGCCCCCATCTCTCCCCAAGGCCCTGGGGCCTCCCCATCAGCCCACCCCCAGCCTTTTGCCACTGCAGACCCAGGCCCCAGGGTCTGAGCACCTTCCCTCCCCACCCGGACCCCCTCCCTTTCAAGCCCTGGAGACCTTTCTCTGCCCTGCTCCCCAGTCAAGGTCAAGGCCAGAGCCTAGACTTGTGGGCCCAGTTCCCTTGTCTGCCCCTCTAGAGGCCAGGTCCTGAGCCCCAGATCCAGGCCCAAGGTAGGGGTCCCAGCTAGAGCCCCCCAGTCCCCTTAACGGCTTATTTCCTCCTGGAAGCCCCACCTCCTCCCTGTGACCCACAGCCCAGGGTGGCAGGGACTGAGCCACTCACTTGGGGGACTGGTCTGACGGCATTCCGCCTCCCAGGATAAAACCTGGTGCGGCCTGCAGAGAACCCTGCGCACTCTTGTTGGCAGCTGCGACCCAATCCGCCATGGTGTTTCCTGGGACTCCAGCCCTGGGGGGCGCTGCCCCAGGATCTTAACCTCCCTGCTGCTTCTGGTTGCTACAGGTGAGTCCCAAGGACCTGCTGCCCCTCCCTCCTCCCCTCCCTCCAGTCCACCCAGCTGCCTTCCCTCTTGGTCCTGCTTGAATCCAGTGTCCTCCCATCTGTTGTTTTGTCCTCTCTCTCTCACTCCCCTCTCCCTCGCTAGTTATTTGACTGCTCTGAGCCTCAGTTTCCTCCACCGCTGTCAGGAGTACATGAAACTCTCCACGTAGGCGCCAAGGACAGGGCTTAGCACACAGTCAGCACTCAGTGGGCTTCAGCTCGGGTGGTTATTTACCATCTTCATCTCTCCCTCCCTCTCCTGGGCTCTGCACATTTTACTGCTGGGGCAGGAGCATCCCGGCCTCTGGCCTGGGCTTGGGGGTGGTGGGGAGATGGTCCTCATTCTCACCCTCAGTGAGATGCCCCAGGAGCTAGCCCCTCATCCTTCAGGCAGGCTTAATGGAGCCTGGGCACAGGATGAACAGGAAGCTGGTGGGAGGGTAAGGCCGCAGCTTATGGTGAGGGCCTGAGGTTTCTGTCCGCCCTACTCAGGCTTCAGGAAATGCCCCTGCCAGGGCGGCCTGGAGGGGCCCCAGGGAATGAGCCCCTGGAGGAGATCACTAGGCACAGAGGGTGGAGGGGCTCCTCTTCACTGGCCTGACCCTTTCTTTATCTTGCCCTCAGCCACCCTCGCTGCTGCCCAAACAACTGGTAAGTAGGAGCTGCCCTGCGGGGAAGGGGGAGGGAGGCAGCCCGAAGGGTGGGGCAGTGTCTGTGTCTTTGGGGACAGATCAGAAGTGGGTAGTGGGGAAGAGAGGGGTTGATCTGGAGGAAGGCAGGCAGGAAAGGAGGGCCAGAGAATCAGACGTGGAGATGGGCGAGTGGCCCCAGAAGGTAAAAGGAATAGAGAACCGAGTGCCCAGCCAGAAGGGAGGGCATTGGATGTAGGGGCCAGGAAGGAAGCAGGGAAGGAAGGGGGAGGGGCTGGGCAGGAGGACAGGGTGGGAGGGGGTTAGGGGAGGAGTGCAGCACAGGTCTAAGTGCTGGAGGCTGGAAGGGAAGCTGGAAGAGGGAGGACTGTGTCTGAGGGGGTGACAGCCCGGGACCCTTCCCCTCCAGAGCCCCCAGCCTGTGGGAGGCCCCAGCGGCTGAGCCGGATTGTGGGTGGTGAGGACAGCACTGATGCCGAGTGGCCCTGGGTCGTGAGCATCCAGAAGAACGGCACCCACCACTGCGCGGGCTCCCTGCTCACCAGGCACTGGGTGGTCACGGCGGCCCACTGCTTCAAGGGGTACTCACAGCCGGTCCCCTCCACTCCGTTCTCCAGGCTTCCCACCCCAGACCCTGGGCTCCCCACTCAGCCCCAGCTTCCAGACCTCAGTCAGTCCTGAGGCGCCTCCCGAGAAGCCTTGCTTCTGCCAGGAAGCTTCTCTGGCTTTCCAGGGGCCTTCATATGCAGGCTGTTCCCCCAGACATCCTTCCCAGACCCTTCCTAGCCACCCAGTGGTGCCTGGCTGATCCCACCCCTGCCTTCTTCCTTCCAGCAATCTGAACAAACCAGCCCAGTTCTCTGTGTTGCTGGGGGCCTGGCAGCTGGGGAACCCCGGCCTGAGGTCCCAGGAGGTGGGTATCGCCTGGGTGCAGCCCCACCCTGTGTACTCCTGGAAGGAAGGCTCCCGTGCTGACATCGCCCTGGTGCGCCTGGAGCACTCCATCCAGTTCTCTGAACGAGTCCTGCCCATCTGCCTGCCTGATTCCTCCGTCCGCCTCCTTCCGGACACCAACTGCTGGATCGCTGGCTGGGGGAGTATCAATGATGGAGGTGCGGCTTCTTCCTCACCAGGGGTTTGTGGATGGGTGGGGACGGGGTGGTGAACACTCAAGAGACACAGGTGCCATAGCAGCAAAAGAGGCAGAGTCTGACAGAGATAGAAAACAAGATGGGCTGCGATCCAGCAACGTGATGTCACAGGAGCCTAGGTGGGCAATGAGACATAACTTCTAGTTAAAAGATGAGAGATCACTCTAGTTAAGTGAGAGATCATTTCTAGTTAAAAGGTACCTTTGGCTGCGTTCTGAGGCAAAACTGCCAGATCAGCTGAGCTATTAAATGATATAGGGATGGCTGAGAGGAGGTTTTCATGGGGCAGAGCTGAATCCTGTGAATACAATGGGCCTAAGATTCCAAATCAAGAACAGTCACCTCCTGGTGGCATCATAACACAATTGCAGGCAAAATGCCCAGGAGAAAGTGCTGTCTCCACAATCGTAAAGTATAACTGGCAAACCAAGTCTGGAGGCTTGGAAAACATCATCTAGAAACCCAAAGCAGACTGGATAAAGTAAGAGGCAGAACAGCAGTGAGAGCTATATATGCATATGTGTATATATATATATTTGTGCATAGGGAGAGAGAGAGAAAAAATAAAGAGTTACTGAGAAAGGACAAAATGTAAGAAAATGAGACTTCAACCAGATTCCAGAAGAATTAAGAGAAATGACACCAGTTTGGGTGTCTGGGAACCCCAGTGACTCTAAAGTTTCAGCCAGCCTCCCCACAGTCATTCTGAGGGGCTCCTGTGAGAGCTGGAATTATGAACTGGAGAAGGTCTACAGACCAACCTTAGGGTCTACCATGCCCTGAGCGAGCGGCGGATTCCTCAAGTCCCTGTAACATTCAACACTGAGTGGCCAGTGGTTGCCAGGCTGGCTAAAATAGTGCCTGAGATGGGACAGGCCCTGACCCTTAGTTCTAACCATCTTGCAGGCATGAGAGAGCTCATTAAAGATGCAGAGTTTCAGGCTGCACGTTCATGTTGGGATTCAGTAGGTCCAGAGCAGAGCCTGGAATTTGGGTTTTCTGCAAGCATCATAGGAGAGCCTGATAGAGTTGATCCATTTAACCTTTGAGAAATGCTGCTGAGGGAATGGAGGCAACTGAGGAGGCCACCAGGGGGACAGCCTCCGAAGCTTGACTCTCTCCTTGCTGCTCCCAGTGCCCCTGCCCCACCCTCAGACCCTCCAGAAGCTGAAGGTTCCCATCATCGACTCGGGGGTCTGCAGCCGCCTGTACTGGCGGGGAGCTGGGCAGGGAGCCATCACTGAGGACATGCTGTGTGCCGGCTACCTGGAGGGGGAGCGGGATGCCTGTCTGGTGAGCACCCCACCTCCTTCCCAGCCCTGCCCCACCGAACTCCATCACCACTCACTGGGCCTCATCCCAGAATCAGATGTGACATGGCAGTCCCCCCCTTCCCAGATGCCTCTAGAACCCAGCCTCAGCCTGGCTTCGCCTTTCATACACTTGTTCATACATCGAACATACATGAGTACCCCTGCTATGCCAGACCTCGGGGGCTCCACGGTCCTGGCCGCCAGAGCCAGCTCCAGCTCCGTCGCTGTGGTGGGGCATGGAGGGACAGTGTAGTGGTCAACACCCGGGCTGGGACACTTCACATCTTTCTGAGCCTGGGCTTCCTCATCTGTGAATCATCACGATACTCCCTGCTTCCAGGGCTGTAAGGGACATGGCCTAGCACCTAGTGCTTCTCACCAGAAGTGAGCCTGAGCAGTGTGTCCTTTCCCACCTTCCAGGCCCCGGTGGTGTTAGGATGCCCCAAGGTGGGAGGAAACCCGGCCCCAGCCACCCCCACGAAGGGAACCGTCTGCCACCCGCTGTGGTGCAGCTCCTGGGCTTTGCTTACCCCTTGCCCCACGCTGGTCCCTAACCTTCCCTCTTCTCCGCAGGGCGACTCCGGGGGCCCCCTGATGTGCCAGGTCGAGGGCACCTGGCTGCTAGCGGGCATCATCAGCTGGGGCGAGGGCTGTGCGGAACGCAACCGACCCGGCGTCTATATCAGCCTGGCTGCCCACCGCTCCTGGGTGCAGAGGATCGTGCAAGGGGTGCAGCTCCGCGGGCACTCGCAGGGGAGCGGGCCCGCAGGGCGCCGGGGCCGGACTCTGGGATCCCCGCACCGTTCAGGGGCCGCTGGGAGCCGCCGGGCTTAGGGATCTAGGAAGACCCAGCTGTTTCCTCCGTTGTAAATAAGCCGTCTACCTCCTGGGGGCGACCGCGTGCCGGCACCGGATCGCCTCGCTGGGAGGCCCCGCCCGGCCCGGGGCTCAGGCCCCACCTCCTGGGCCGGGAGTGCCTTTGTGTATATACATGTTAATTATTTTTACAGTTGTTTGTAACCCTGCCCACTTATCTTATTTATTCCTCCAATTTCAATAAATTATTTATTCCTCAGTTTTTGTTTTTCCTTCTCCGGGTAGGGGTCATTGGGAAGCGAAAGTCCAGTTGGGGTTAAAATCGGGGCAAGCAGGGATGAGTCTGATGTTGGTCTGATCAGGGACCCAGATGTCCTGTCCACCTAGGATTCAACATCTGACCCCTGACCTTGGCACTGCCCTTTCATAGCCCTCTGCCACGTGAACGGCGTCGGGGGCTACACGGCCAGTCCCACCCTGCAAACTGCCAGTTGGATTTCCAAAACAGGGCAGGCTAGGAGAAACTCACTCTATGACAGTGGGGTGTTCCCCCTCCCTCTTCTTAGAGCCCAGTCTCTCGGATTTGGGTTGAGGCAGCCCCCAGGCCTCTGCACCCCCAGGAGCTGACTCATAGACTGACTCACGGCTGAGTCTGAATCCTCCCCAGGGAGGGAGGAGCAAAACAATGAGACAGCAGGTTTGTGCACTGGGCTTGAGTCATCGCACCTGCCCCCACAGAGGTGGGGCTGAGAGCGGCATTCCAGGCCCAAAGTGGGCCTTTTAGGGGACCCAGCTAATGCTCCCTTTTCCCACCGCCCATTCTTTTGCAGCCAGGCCTCTGGCCTCCTGGAACAGCCTTGTCCTTTCTCCCAGGGCCCAGGACATCCCACCCCATCTGGGACTCTGTCCCATCCTACCTGGGCTTTCCAGAAACAGCTAAACGTGCAGACAGCTGTACGGTTGGTTTGCTGAGTATGTGCAAGAAAGATTTATTCTCACACAGAGTCAAGAAGACAAGTAGGTCCAACTCAGCAGAAGGACCGAGAAGGTGAGCAGCTGCCTCAGTGTCTCTGACAGGAAACAGTCAGTGAAGCGAGCTTCTGAGAAGGCAGCCCGGGCTGTGGTTAGGTTGGGTTTTGGTGTCCTTTATTGGGAGACTGTTCCAAAATGTTTAGTCATGTTATTTTGATTACCCCCATGGTATTACCAGATCACAGTAAATGCCGTGGGGTTGATGTTATTTAAAAACAAACACTGAAAAAAAACAACAACAACCCATTAACCTGGCCTCCCGCTCACCAGAGAATCAGCCTGGAGAGTAAGCAGGCAGGTCAGGTGAGGCCCCTCCCCTTTGTGACCTGGTCCCTCCTCTCTGGCCTCAGTCCCCACCCCACCCCCATTTGCTGCCCTCCTCCCTCCCTCCCTCAGTTTCCATGTCTGCTCTCCAGGCTCTCCTCCTGTCCCTGCCCCCTCACTCTTCTGTCTCTGTCCCTGTCTTTCTGGCACCTGGCTCTCTGTGCCTCAGTTTCTCCCATGCCTCTGTCTCTCACCCCCTACCCCATCCGCCTCCAGTGGCATCCTCACAGAAGCCCCTGAGAAGGTGACACCTAGAAACATCTGCGGGAAAGAGTCGCCCCATAAATGCAGGACACTCAGGTGAAAGCGGATTTTCTCCTCCTTCAGGGAGCCACTGAGCGGAGGGCACCTTCACCCCCTCACCCCAGGGGCCCAAGGGACAGGCGGGGCTGTGCGCTGTGGAGCTGGTCCCTGGCAACAGGATTTCCGATGACCCCCCTAATCAGGTGAGGGGTCCGGGAAGTGGAAATGCAGCCCAGCCCCAGCAGATCACACCAGCATCGCAGAGAGCCCCTTTGCCCGTTGGAGCTGGGCCCAGGAGGGCGCCCCAAATCTGGGTGGTGGGGCGGCTGGGGCTCACTGCTTCGGCTCCACCCACACCACTTGCCTCTGGGGGCCACACACGGAGACCCCTGGGCCTGCCTGGCTGTATCCTCAAGAAAGTCCCAGTGGGCAGGTGCTGGCACACCCATCCTGGGCGCCCAGATGTCTCCACTCTTATCTGACCTCCCACATGGAACAGCCTTCTTGCTCCCCAGGGGCCCGGGTGGGGCCATTGGTGACAGATGTCTTCACAATGGGAACTGCCTTAGCCACAGGCTGTGAGGTCTGGCTACTGCTCCTCCACACAGCCCCTCCTCAAATCTTTAGCCCTTGAGAAGACTTCTAGTCCCACGCCAGGGACCTGCCAACTCTTCTCCACTCTGCATCTAGAACAAGTGTGTAAATCACATTTAACCCCATGACCTCCCTTGGTGGCAGACTCCTTTGATTGGCTAAGTCAAAAACCCATTCCAGCACCCCTCCCTTGCTTCCTGCTCCTTGGAGACTGGAAAAGCTAGATATTCCTTCCACTGTCTCCCACAAGATCTCTGTGAAAATAGATGTCTGATGGGTGGTTTCTTGGGAAGACTTTGGATCCTTTTCCCCATAAAAGGGACATATTCAGCTGGCATTATCCTTTCTCACGTTCCTCCTCCTTCTAGTCTTGGATGCAGATGTAATGACTGAACTTTAGCAGCCATCTTATCACCATGAGGCTGCACATTAACATGCTAAAATGACAGTGAACAAAGCTTCAGAAGCTGCGGACGTGAGGACATGGTTGAGAAGCACACCCCCCATCCTAGACAGCCACCTCCATCCTTCTCGTGTGCTTTTAAATCCTGTTGGTCGGATCTTCTTTTACTGAAGCTAAATACATTCATAACCAATATACCTGCCTCAGACCCTCTGTTTTAGAATAGTTTTAGGTTTATAGAAAAATTTGGCAGAAGGGGGAGGTACAGCTTAGTAGTAGAGTGCCTGCTTAGCATGCCTGAGATCCTGGGTTCAATCCCCAGTACTTCCATTTAAAAAAATACATGAATAAATAAATAAACCTAATTACCTACTCCCCACCCCTGAAAAAGAAAGTTTTATAGAAAAATTTTTTGTTTTTTTTGCAGAACACTTATTTTGTTATTGAAACAGGAGGTGAGATTTCATCAGTACAATCAGATCATACTTAAATTGTGGCAGAGAGCCAGTGAGTAAATAACCGGGTGGTGAGGGCAGTGTCTGTCAGACTGTGGGGGCTGTGTTCTTTGGCATCACCATTTGACTTTGACCCAGTGGGCCCGTGGATCTGATTTCCTGTCAGTGGCTCCTGAACAATCCTGCACAGGCAAACCAGGACAAGTAACCATGTTCAGGGACAATTCATATTGAGAAAGGAATAATCACTTTTACAGAACAAGTTCTGTTTTGCTGGTTCTTCCTCATTTTCCCAACCTCTATGTGATGGTTGCCCCAACATCAGTGCTGTGGCTTCTTGCCTCCTCTTTCACCTACTTGTACCCTTTCTCTGGGTGATATCATCTGGTTTCATAGCTTTCTACACCATCCATAGAGGCAACTCCAGAGTTCTCTCCCACATGTCCACTCAACATCCCCTTGTAATATCCTATAGACAGCTCAACCTTAACAGGACCCAAAATGAAACCCAATATTCCCCCCCTAAACTTGCTTTCCCAGCAGAACTTCCCGTCTCAACACAAGGCAAGGCAAGAGTCCTTCCTTCCAACTGCTCCATTTCAGAACCTTGGAGAACTGACATCACCAAGTGTTGAAGAGGACACAGAGCACCTGGAACGCTCATATGTTGCTGGCAGGAGTGCAAAATGGCACTGCCCTTGTTGGAAAAACCTGCTGACCATTTCGGGTAACATGTAACATACACACAGCAATCCTACTCCTAAGATTTATCCAAGAGAAGAGAACGTAGTCATACAAAATCTGTATGCAAATATTTATAACAGCTTTATTCAGAATTGGAAAAACTGGAAACAACCCAAATGGTCTTTACCTGGTGAACGGAAAAGCAAACTGTGGCAATCCATTCAATAGAATTCTACTCAGCAACAGAAAGGAGCAAACTCCACACTACGGGGTGAATCTCAAGCACATGATGCTGAGGGGAGGAAGCCAAACCCCAAGAGGGTCCATACCATGACTCTATTTATATGATGCTGTGGAAAAGGCAAAGCTGTGGGGACAGAGAACAGATCGGTGGTTGCCAGGGGCTAGGATGGGGGAAGGATTGCCCACAAAGGGGCTTGGGGGGGTGGTTTCAATAGTGATGGAACTAGCTTTGTATCTTCACTGCAGTGGTGGTTACATGACTGGATGTATTTATCAAAACTCATAGGACTATACATTAAAAATGGTGAATTTCACAGTGTGTAACTCTACCTCCATAAAACTGACTGAGTTTTTAAAAAACCCAACAACACAGAAGTGTGGAGTCTTCTTGACACCTCTCTTTCTTTCATTCTGTAAATTCAAGCCATCAGCAAATCCTAGTGGGTTCTATTCTATCTTCAAAATAGACTTTGTCCTGAGCCACTCTCTTCTTTATTCCAGATTTCTGTAATGGCCTCCTCACTAGTCCCCCTGCTTCTGCTGTTGTGCCCATCAGTCTGTTGTCAGCACAGTAGCCAGAGGGGTGGTCTTAAAACCTAAGTCAGATCCTATCAAACTCTGTGATGGCTCCCTCCTTTACTCAGAGTAAATGACATCGTTTTTCCCGCCACCCACCTCACCTCTCTCCTCTCCATTCACCCTGCTCCAGCCTCGCTGGCTTCCCAACTGTATTTAGGAACACAACAGGCATGCCCCTGCCTCAGAGCATTTGCACTTACAGCTCTCCCTCTTCCTCCACATGACTGCACGACCCTCTCCCTCACTGCTTATAAATCTTTGCTCAGATATCACCATATCCCCATCCTCTTTACAACAGCAAAGTCCCCCCCCCTCCACTCTTGCTTCATTCCTTATTTTCTCTTTTTCCAGGACATTTGTGACTTTGTAACATACTACATATTTGACTTGTCCGTGGTTTATTGCCCCTCCCATACACACAACGAGAAGGTAAGCCTCTGTCCCTGCATTTGCTATGTTCTGTTATTACTGTCTGTTAAGTTGATTATCTTTCCCAGGAAGTATTCTGAACATATTAAAGGTGAGACCTTTTATCTTACCCATCTTGATATGGTCAGTGTCCAGAAAAAGGGCCTGGCAAACTAGCCAATGTTAGTAAATATCTCAGGAGTTAATGGTAATGAGTGTGATCTGTGTCATTAGTTTGGTGAACAATGTGGACACATTTCTTTTGTTTTTCTCATTATTTGCTCAAGCA